TGTGCATTCGGTAGTTCCTGTTCAACTCCACCTGGGCAGAAACCACAGCAGGATGGTCAGTGGATTGACACTGGCTGAAAAGGTACTGATATCCACCATGGGGCGGGGGAAAGATTGCAAAGACTGAGGCTACAGTGCCAGGAGACATGGAGATAGGAGAACCAGGAAAAAGGGCCCCAACAGTGCTGGGTGGGAAACAAGTGTGGATGTGTCTTTCCCAATTCTTTTTACTCAGGGAGTCATCTCTTGCATCCCAGCTTAACATTGCGGATCCAGCAAACAACACATAAGGATTAGTCTAAGAGATTTCAACATTTGGAGAGAAAAGACTTAATTGTTCCTTTTAGCAAGAACTGCACAGAATCACAGAATGGTTCTGGTTGGAAAAGACCTTCAAGATCATCTGGTTTCAATCCCCTGTCATGGGCAAGGACACCTCCCACTAGAACAGGTTACTCAAAGACACATCCAGCCTGGCTTCGAACATTTCCAAGGATGGGGCATCCACAGCTTTTCTGGTCAATCTGTTATTCATACTGTCCCCTTTGATATCCCTCTTCCTCTCTAGAGGAGGGCAGGCTGTGCTGATGGAACCCCAGAAGCACCCTGATAATGCTTAAATGAACGATCTGGTCATGCAGGGCTGGTGTACCACTCCACAACCAACAAATTTACAGTGGCACTCAGGCCAGCATGCAGGAACCCCAGCCTACCTTATGGATATCAAAGCCTATGGCCAAGTTCTCTCCTTTGCCCTCTTTGCGACTGGTCCTTTTGGGCTTCTGCTGGATGGAGATCAGCACTTCATCTTCTGCCTTCTTCACATCAAACACATACTAGAAGCAAAGAGAGGAAGGTAAGGGAAATATTTATTAATACAGGCTCCCTGGGCATGGGTGGGGATGGATTTAACAGATCTAACATCAGCTTCTCCCAGTCCACCTCCATGCAGGGACAGCCTGGCTTCAAAAGGCTAATACAGAGCTGGAAGCTGGAAACAACTCTCCCACATCCTTAATGACAACTCCTGCAATGGACCAGACCACCCTTCAACTGCTTGTTAGATGAAAAACTGAAAAGGACCTGGCTCGTGATCATGAGAATCCAATTTCAGAGAGGACAAGTATAGAATAATTTATGTTGGAGAAGACCTCTAAAATCATCTAGTCCAACCCTTAACCTAGCACTGTCAAGTCCACTGCTAAACCATGTCCCCAAGTGCCACATCCACATGCCTTTGAATGCTTCCAGAAATGGTAACTGTACTGCTGCTCTGGGCAGCCTCTCCTAATGTCTTCACCCTTCCAGTAAAGAAGTTTTCCCTAATATTCAATCTAAAGCTCCCCTGGCACAACTTGAGGCTGTTTTCTCTTGTCCTACCACTTGTTACCTGGGAGAAGAGACCAAATCCCATCTGGATATGCTCTCCTTTCAGGTAGTTGTAGGGAGCCATTAGGTCCCCTTGAGCCTCCTTTTCTCCAGAAAAGTTTGTTCCAGGAGATGAACTTGAAGCTAGAAGGAAATGGCTCTAATGGGCTACATCTGTCCTGGTAAATTTAACAGCATTAAAGTTCAGGCTCAAAAACTGGAATTTGGTCATTCCAATGTCCAGATTGTTGGAAATTACTCCTGGTCCTGTTTGACTGGAACCAGCCAACATTACTACCCTGTGGCACAGTTTGGTTTTTTTTTTTTCCCTCGTGCCAAGATCCTCTACACTAAGCACTTGGATGCAGTCTCCTTGATAAGAGGGATAATGTTAATAGAGTTGGCCTCGATGCTGGTCATGCTGTGCCAGAGAATTGCCATAAGCACAAATAATCTATTAAAGGCCTAGTAGCGTTTTGGCCTTCTAGGTCCCTGTAGGAGAGTTAAACACTTGGAAGCACAAGTGAAGGTTCCAGAAGTCCCTCTGCCCCATGACTCACTTGGGGGTTCTGCAGAAAAGTGTCCTTGTGGTTGATGCAGCCCCCGGAGCGGTTTTTTAAGGGGTCACTGCTTCTGGTCCATGCCCCGTGTAGCACTGCCTCCTCCCAGGTCTTGTGGATGCTTAGGTAGGAGGTGTTGATCAGACGGCACTTGATGATGTCCGTGAAGTATTTGCAGAAATCTTCAAAGGTCATCCTGAGTCAGGAAAGGGCAGAACTGGGTTATGTTGCTTCATTCCCTGGAAAGGTACACTGCAGGGATTTTCTTGATCACCTGTTAGAGATTGTGGGTTGTCTCTGATGGCTGATGAATTACAAAAGTCATTCATCAAATATCTCCAAAAGACATGGAGATACATTTCTCTATCCCTGCAGTAAATACTTCTTGAGTTCAAACAATAGATCTCTGCATTTTGGAGTAGGAGAAGCAGCACAGTGGCTTTTTCTCCCCATAAAGGTAAATGTTGTACTGAAATATTCCCTGGTGAGGTTGTGAAGTTCAGCATATTTATGACAGGTTCTCAGTACCCTGGTGAAATGGTTTGGCCCCTGAGTAATGCAGAGCACCTTGCAATTTCAGGGTCATGGCCAACAAAAGCTAACACCCATGGGCACAAGTAGGGAGCTTCACTAGAGATCCTGTGGCTTGGAAGACTGTTTTCTCTGGATAGCTGTATGCATGGAGAAGATGTACATGCTCCATGGGGTGGGAGGATGCTGTGGTCATGGCCTGTGGTGACAGACCCAGGAGGGACTCACCAGAACTCTCCATCATCTTCTACTGTCATTCCCATCTTCTCTCTCTCACTTTTACTCACTTTCTGCCACTCCTCAGAGCTGTGGGAAGAGACCAGGATCATTACTCAGAGGTAAGGGACACACAAGAATTTGAGGCACAAGAACTGTATAAAGCTCTGGTTAAGTCACCTGCCAAACATGGGGGAAGTGTAGCATGGCTTGGAACTTCCTACCTGACTGGTGGAGTTGAATCCAGTCTGGCAAGGTTTTATTTGGCCAGTACAATCACAACCCTAACCATAAAGATAACAAAATTTACTCTGGTCAAAGACTTTGGTTGCACCAGCCCTTGGTTCCTCATCTTATCCCCAGCCATCACAGCAGTTGGTGGTGGCAGAGGCTGATTCATAATTGTGTTCATTTTGATGGAATAAGACTGGGAGCACAGAGGTGACCTATGAACATGGAATCATAGAATAACAGAATGGTTTTGGTTGGAAAGGACCTTAAATATGATCTTATTCTAATTCCCCTGTTATGAGTAGGGAAACCTTCCGCTAGACCAGGTCACTCAAAGCCCCATCCAACTTCACCTTGAACACTTCCAGGAATGGAGCATCCACTGCTTCTCTGAGGAGCTGTGCCAGTTCCTCACTATCCTCCCAGGGAAGAATTTCCCACTGAAACAAGCTGTCCGTCCCAACTCACGTGTCACTCCAAGGGCCGTTCCACTCCCGCTCACCCCACGGGTTGCGCATGCGGATCATGTCCAGCTTCTCCGACTTGAAGAAGGACAGAAGGCCATGGCCCAGACGGACCTTCCGCACGTCTGTCACCGCGTACGCGTGACCCTTCACCAGTCCGCAGGCCAGGCGAGCCTCCATGTCAGCTGCTGATGTGGCCTGGCAGGGGGATACAGACAGTGCTCAGACCAGGGGGACATGACCACCTCTGCAGGGGCTGGGGAAGAAAGCAACTCAAGATTTCCCTGCAGATGTCTTTAAGCCAAAAAGAAGAGCATCAATAGTCAGGGAAAAAGCCAGCTGGCACATCTCAGATGCCATTTTATGTGCTGGATCCCCCCTTTTCTTCATTTGCTTCATGAGGTCTCTGAGCTCCCATACTGGCAACCGACAAAGCTCATCCTAATGGTTATGCTGGGAGGTCTAGCAACCAGCATTTGTAAAGATGCCCAGATGCAGACACCAAAATGTCTTTCTCTGGAGTGGATCACCTCCTAGCATTTAAAGGGTGCTAGGATGAATGTGGGCTCTTGGACATAGCAACAAGGAATAAAGAGGGTTGACATTCAGGATTAACTCCTTTTGCCATCATCCAGAAATCAGAACCCTTGGCCACAATTTATCTGATCTAATTTACAAGTTTATGACTGTGTAAGACAACTGCATCCTAAAACACCTATTCCCATGGCACCGTGACCATACTGGTAATGTTGCTTACTTTGATGGAGCAGCTGATGAGTCCTCCCCTGTTGTGCACCTTCAGCACGCGCTCAAAGAGGAGGTTTCGTTTGGCTTCATCGGTGATGTAGTCCCCTTCAGTCAGGTCGATAGGTTCAGAGACCCCACCAGTGAAATCCACCAGGGCATCAGCTGTGTTGCCTCCATCCAGGGCTTCGTAACAGCCTGACAACCTGAAAGAGGGTGACAGGGATGGCACAACACTGGCCTGACATTTTAAGGGGTCAGGGATGACTCCTGGGGCAACCTCAAGAATGGAGATTTGCAGTTGAACTTCAAGTGAGAGAGGACAGCAAACTAGGGTGAAAAAACAGGACCCACATTCCTTGCTGCACTCTTGCTGTCATAGGACCAAGGTAAAAGGAACTTGAAATCTCTAGAATAGGTGTTATTTAAAGAAACACTGAAGGGTATTTTGCTTTGAGGGTAAATTAGGGCTAGAGAAGGGGTTTTCTTCTTAGTGTTTGTCTGTTTGAGTTATGTACTACTTCTCCACAGGAAAGACGTTTTTTCACTGCTGCAAACTAGCTGGTGAATGATCAGAGAAGAAAAACAGAGTGCCCAAGTCCCACTTTATCCTACAACTGCCTGGGTACCTACTTGGCATAAGCTTTCTCCACCAAGGCACACCAGAACTCATTCTTGGAGTTGGAGTGGCAGTAGATGAGCTGATTGTGGAGTGTGGGCAGGCGGTCATCGATCACCACATCCAGCCACTGACCGAAACGCCAGAACTGGAAGTGGAAGATCCCCACGTAGCTCTCAGGTTTCTCAGGGTTCCACTCCTGCTCCTTCCAGTCTGGGATGACCTGCAGAAGGAGAGGCACATATACCCAAATTATTCATTTTTTTCCTGGGATTGACTCTCATCCTGGAATTAATGCAGACAATATCAAAGACAAGAAAGAATACGAGGGGGATGGACTTGCTCACAGTCTTCTGGGGCCAGATTTTGGACCTGGTTCTGCCAATGCAGACTAGATTAACATGTACTGGAATAGCATAGACTTCACTGTCCCTTGAAGGCGGAGTTAAATACCTTTGTCCTCTTTCTTATAACCCTACCCTGGACATCTGCTGCCATCTACTTCTGTAGACAGGTTATTGGAGCAGATGAGTTCTTTGTTTAACCAGGGATGGTTATTTTTATGACCATGTCCTTTGTTTTTTTTAGTGTCAATAGGGTACCACTAACAAAGGGTACCTTCTTTGATTCTCCTGCTTGATTCTGGTGTGACTTGACTGGCCCAAGAGCAAGTGTGGTATTCATCTATCTGGTGGAAATGAACAGGCAGCAGATACTCTGCGTGAACCTACTCTGTTAAGTAGAAGTAGGACAAGCAGGATCTCCATTCCCTCAAGGTCTCAATTCTTTCTTGTCAAGAGCTACCACGCTCACCCAGGCAAGCACAGGGAGGTGATTTGATGAAAGAGGGAAAAGAAGGCCTGAGTTGAGAGAAGACCTAGTGCAGCTGAGGGGTCAGAGGAGGCACAGGTTTGGTGTCATTGCCAGCAGGACAGGCACAAGCAAAGGGGAACTGCCAAAGTCTGTAGCCCATCATGGCTGCAGGCACTACCAGCTCTGCTTTGGATGGAAAATTCACCCAACAGCTGGGACAGAAATGAGCATAGCCAGCCAGATGCTACATGTAGGGGAATCTGCATCTTGTCTGGATCCAGGATGCAGAGGCCCAAAGCAAGGAACTACCACACTGCAATTTAGCTTTTGCTGAGGGTGGTGGAGCCAATGTGGTTTTACTGCATGGCCAGGGCAGGCTGTGATACCACATGTAGTTATGGTAGCTGATGCTGACAAGTATAGACTTAGACAGCAGTAATGTGACTGACTTGACTGTCCACACCCCTGCTACTTCACTTACCTGCTCCCAAAGGATCATGTGCTCAGTGATAAAAAACCCCAAGGTGTAAATGCAAGTATGCATTATGTTACTATGTTCCAACACACCAAATAATCACTTTCCTGTGGAGAGCTGAGCATGTTGGGGTGGGATAGAAGAGGACACAACTACATTGCATGGAAAGAGCCTCTTTAAGAAGTCACAAGACATGGTGAAACCATCTTTACTGTGTGTCCTTGTCCTGATGACAGAGCTGCTGAGCCAACTTTGTTTTGGTGGTGTTTTTTTTTTTTTTTTGGTTGGTTGGTTTTTTCTTTTTTTTTTTTTTTGTCTGCTGTCACAAAGCAGGAATTGTGCAGAGAGAATTCCCTCTGAAAAGCCCCCTGACTCCTTAGCTACCAGCAATGATCTAGCCCAGGGCTCTTATTGCTCCTACACTGAAATATTAACGATGCCATCAGCCCTGCAAGCTCACAGGCACTCTTGACTCATCTGGATCAATAGAAACAGAGCAGACAAAGCCATGAAAAAGAGACACATTTGGAGGGTTTGGTGTTTAATAGGAGTGCTAACAATGGTGTCCTAGAGTTCTCTCTGGAGACTGCCAGGAGATGTCAGCCAGTCCTCCATCAGTGCCCATTGATTCCCTCCTGACTGGAGCTCATCCTAATGAATTGTCATAGAGGGCCATTGTGATAATCAACTCGCTATTAATGTGGGCTTAGAAATGATCCCAGCATTGATCAGAGGCAGCTTGTCAGCCAGGGCTGGTAGTGGCAGCTTCCAGCTGGCTGGGTCTGAGACTTGCTCCTCCTGTCACTTGTGGCAGGACACACAGGTCCCCACCATCCTCCTCATTTCTTCACTTGGGACAGCTCTGGGAGCACCCTCCACCACTGAAGGCAGCAAAAATGGTCAGCTTTCATCCAGAGCTGGGTCCAGGAGCAAGGACTGGTCGTTTTCTATACTAACCCGAGAGGAAATGAGAGGAGTCTGATCTCCACAGGTGTTCCCTGCTGGAGAGTGTGCCATGGACCATCCATCCCAGGATCCCAACTAGTCCTGCCCTCAGCTTGGTTCCGTGACACTGGGGCAGTGGAAACCACATTCTCCTTCACCCAGCTGTGCTGCTTTTTCCTTAGGGATTCACAAAATCTGGAGCTGTAACACCATTTAGTGTGACAAATTTACAGTGAAAGAGTTCAGAGATGGGTAAATTGGGAGCTCAAAAATGCCAGGTTCACATCCTTAAGCTGATTTATTTTTCAATTTTCTTAAGAGTGGCTAATTAAGAGAAAAGGCACTTGTGGCCCTGGAAAAAAATATCCCTGATTAGAAGGAGAAATTGGTACATGTCAAGTTCTCCAAGGCTTCTGCTGGGAACTTGCCTGTTCAGAATAAGGAGAAAGGCATCCAGCTGTACCAATCTGCTGAGCTGTGGTACAAACTGGAATGAAATTTCCCTGTGAGATGGGACAGGGTGATGTATCTCAAAATCTTTATGGGATGATGAAACTGTGTAGGGATAGTTTCAGTGACTGGTAAAAAGAGGCTCATCTTCCCTGCAGCAGAGAGATCACACTTGTACCTGCACCTCCCTTTCCCACTTCTGAAGGAAACAAGGATCCACCTGAGAATCATTTCCCCTTCTATGTCCAGCCTCAACCCCCTCTTGACCACAAAAAACCTACTCAATACTCCGTGAAGCCTTTCACACCAAGAGAGAAGAAAGTAAATGTTCATCTTACATTTGACAGGAAGTTAAAAGGGGCTCAAGAATACCAGCATTGAGTTGAAATTTGGTGCTTTATTGTGTGCAGGATTAGGGCAGCTCCCAAAAGGAGCATGAAGAATTCACAAACAGCCTCAGTCCTTAAGGGGAACCCATTGTCTAGGCTTTTATTTACTATTGTACACCAACACCCAGCGAGATACCTGCAGCAAGAAATCTGCCCTAGCAATGTAGCAATGGCATATTGTGAGACTTAGCATGCAATAACCACTTTGGATGTTGCCAGTGGTTCCTGTTCTTTGGTCTAAAGCAGTTTGTAGTCAGGAACTCTGCTCTGGGATGTACAAGGAGGGGTTTCCTATGGCAAAGTCTGCTAGGACCCTAGAGGTGTGTTTGGCCAAACGGGGATGCATCCACTTTTCTCTCTACTCACCAAGTCCAGCATTTCTTGGGCTCTAAACAAAGACATCAACTTGTCTAGCAATGGCCATGGCATAGTTGTAGGATTTGGTGGTTGCTGGGCTTGGTTTTGGGCAAGACTCAAAGCTCCCACCATCTCTCCAGCCAGTAGCTGATCTGCTTTTTTTCTCTACTCTGCCTGGCATAACTTGTGCATGTCATTTTATACACTATTCTTGGGCTGGGGAAGGCATAGGGTCTGCACCTCTGGAGGTTTTTGGAGAAGAGGTTGGACTCTTTTTGGGGCTGGTCTGCATAAGTCTGCAGGCTACATGTACAAAGTCACTTACCCTGGCTTTCCCATCACTGCTCTCTCCTTACTCACCTTGGGAAGATGCCAGGCTGCCCCTTGAGGAATACTCACACACATTTGAGTGCAATCTGAGCAGAGGATCAACTATAATAATACTTAGCTCTTTCAAGGGACTTTTCTATCAGTGTGTCTCAGAACTTCATTGAAGTACTCTCCACTTTTTGGTGGAGGAAAAGGAAACATCCAAACTTAGTAGTTTACTGCAGTCATGGGGCAAACTGGGCACAAAACACTCTCCTGTTCCAATACTTATAAATGTGTCACTCCTCTCTGCTCCTGTGGTCACCCAGACACCCTTCCCTGTGTTTTAGAGGGCAGAAGACACTGCTTTTCATGGACAGAAGCAGCAGGTTCCTGCTTTGTGGCTTGCAAAGTGCTCTGCAGCCTCATGGCTCTCCAGAGACAATTCAGAGTAAATATTCTGAATTTACATCTGATGGGTGCTTTAAGGACAGAACAAAGCACAAATTAACTCTGCTGCAGAGGACTCATTGCTGGCCTAGGCTGTTCTGAGCTGCTGGCTCTGCCCACACATGCACACACACTCCAGCCCATCTTGGACCAAGAAATTCCACCCTCCCCCCTGTAAGAAATGATGGCAGTGGTCAGGAAAGGCTGGTCCAACCTCCCCATCAGTCCAGTGAGTTTACAATCTGCAGAACACAGTGAGTCCAAGTGTAGGTACTTCAGCTTCACAGCAAGGTGGATTCTCTATGGAATTGGTCTTCAGAGACTCCAAGCAGCTACAGCAGCAGCACAAGTCACCAGAGCCTGCAAGCACTCAGCATCTTGCAAGGAGAGGAACTCCATCATAAACAAGCTCTCCCTTTTTAATGGCTAGGATGGAAACTGGAAAGCAGGGCTCTCTCCAGGGGTCCCGGCTAGTTTCTGGCATGACAATTACTTATTTTTCCAGTGGGTTTTTGGTCTGCAGTTGCTGCAGTGAGAGGATTTAGGGCAGCCTCATATTTCCAAGCCAGTAAGAGCCTGCATGAATCCCTAATGAATTCACAAGCACACAGTCTTATACTCCAGACAAATGCAGCAGCAAGCTCATGGTCCCCTTCTAATCATCTAGACAGAGGGCAGCACATTTGGGGAATATTTCACAGGGTTGAGGGGCTCCCGAAGCACTGAGCTGTTCTCTGCTTCACCATGGTGCTGTCTCTCATTAAAAAGAAAAAAAGAAGAAAAAAACAGATATAAAAATGGACCAAAGAACTGAACTGAAAGAAGCATAGCTGGAGCGAGAAAAGCTGAACAAGAGGGGATCAGGCTTTAAAAACAATGGAGCCTTTCAGCTGAGCTGGTTCGAGGCCGCCAGTGAAAGTGAGGAGGAAATACATCACCTTGCGGATCTGGGCTAGTTCTGCTATCCGCTCCCCAAACTCCTGGGCATCTGCCTCATTGCACTGCACCTCCTCAGCCCCTGGCTTCTTCCAGAAGATGCCCACTGGCTCCAGCAGCTGCCGGTTCATCAGGTGGGTGAGATCAGGAGTCCAGTGCTGGGAGGTGCCAGTCACCGTGACCTTCCCAGGGCTCTCCAGCTGCACGTCCCAGCGGAGGAAGCGCAGTTGGTGCTGCTGGATGAAATCCACTCGGTAGATGTGCTCATTGGGACGCAGCAGCCTCTCGCCATCCTGGGGCCTCATGTTCCTTTGCTGCAGGCTCTGGAATCGCAGCCTCATGCGCCGGGTGAGCTGCTCGTCGCAGGTGAAGGGCAGCTCAAGCATCGCTGCCTCAGCCGCCATCACCTTGGCTGCTCCTCTGCTCCGTGCTCAGCAGCGTGTGGCTCTCAAACAGGACACGCAGGGGGAAAGATCAGACAGGCCCCGGGAGCTGATGTCCCTTCTCCACAGTCGCAGCAGCGCTAGGCAACCTGGGCCAGTGACGCAAAACACCTCTGGGGCTTCCCCTGAGTGCCCTCCCGACTCATTTGCAGATTCAGAACTGTTGGTGCTGCTGTGCACGATAATCTATAGGGAAGGGATGTCTCATGTCAGCCTCCCCGGCAACCTCCCTGACAACCATGGCTCATTATCCCAAAACAAAGCCAGGGATGTCACCTTTGCAGGGAATAGTGGCAACTTTCTCTGAGTGTAGGTTCATGGCTAATTCAGGCTAGAATGAGACTCTGGAGGAGTCTAGTCCAACCCACTGCTCAAAGCAGAACTTACTTCAGAGTTAAATCAGTAATGTTTCTCTGGGCTTCATGCAGTCCATCTTTGTGTATCTCCACGGACAGACGTCCCACAGCCTCTCTGGGCGCTGTTCCAGGGTCTGACTGAGCTCATGCAGAAGACAAGCTGCAGCTTGTGCTGCTGTCCTTTGTCCTCTGACTGTGCATCTCTGCAAGAGCCTGGCTCCATCTTGTCCACACTCCCCTATCCAGGCTGCATGGGGCTCTGAGCAACAAGGTCCAGTGGCAGGTGTTTCTGTCCATGGCAGGAGGGATGGAGCTAGATGACCTTTAAAGGTTCCTTCCAAGCCAAACCACTCTGTGATTCTACTGTTAAGTAGCTGCACACAACAACAAGCTCCCCTTTTACCTTCTCTCCCCCTGAATGAACAAATCCACTTTCCTCCTGACCATTTTGGTGGCCTCCATCAGGCTGTGCCATCCAGAGAAGGGCACGAGGATCCCAAGGGACAAATTGACTATTAAGTCAATGAATAGCAAACTAACATGACCATCGTGCCCTTTTCTGGATGGCACAGCTGGCAGGAATCAGACACCACACTGCTCCTGCAGCAGCAAATCAGCACCAGCATCCTGGCATGGTTTTGCCCCCCATTTTAACATCTCAGTTTCTTTCCATAAAAGCTAGACACATCTGAAGGGTCATAGAAAGGGTGTTAAGGAGCCAGATCACACCTAGAGCCATGTAGGGTCATCCAAGACTCAGGAATTTAGAAAACAGCTCTCAGCTAAATTCTAGTACCCTATTCCCACTCAGTGATTCACACCACACAGGCATAATGGGAAGCAGGGACATGGAGAAAGCAAGGTGGAAGAAAATGTTTGAATAAAATAATCTCCTGGATCCACAGGGATGTGCTGCCCTGCCTTATTTTCTTGAAGGTATTCCCCCTCCCCACATTTAAAAGAGACACTGTGTGAAATGCAGCAAGGGATATGCAGAGCCTGTGTTACATCCTGGTGTACTCCAGGAATACATTTTCTAGTAGCAATAGGTGATCTGGGCCAATATTCCTGGGCTGATATTTCAGAGATACTAAAGCCTGCATCAGCGTCTCTCAGCTCTTGCCAGACTCCAAATAGAGACATTTTGGTGTCCAGCAATGTTATCACAACATGTGATAACATTTCATGTGTAATCACACTTAGGACCAAGGGGCCCATTATTTCTGTCTCTGAGATCTTGAGCAAATAAGAAATTTACTGTGAGCATGGTGATACACTGACACAAGTCACTCAGAGAAGCTGTGGATACCCCATCCCTGGAAGTGTTCTAGGCCAGCTTGGATGGGGCTTTGAGCAATCTCATCTAGAGAAAGGTCTGTGGCAGGGGAGCCAGAACTAAATGGTCATTAGGGTCCCTTCCAACCTATATAATTCTATAAATCAAACTTTTCTGAAAGAAAAGAGAGGACAGGTAAAAAAAAAAAAGCCTCTGAGAGTTAAAGCAATGGAAAATGAGAAGTTACAAACACCCACAGCCAAATTGCCAAGGGAGGAAAAGCAATGCCCAGCAAACTGAAATAATGAAGTGTCCAAAGGGACCCAGCCTCTGTTTGGTTGGCATTTCCCAGGGCAGAGCTGGAAGTGAATGGTGAGGAAGGATGACATCTTGCCCACTCACCCTTGGGGGATGTTGATGGTGAGGTACAAATTAAACAGCCCTATGCATCACCCTTGTAATGAGAGCCACAGCAGTCACCACAGCCACAATGGCAGGAAGCCTTATTGCTTATCAAGAAAGCAATAACAGCTATCCTGTTCCCATATAAAGAAAATCCTCGATTTTTAACAGAAAATGGGGATGCTGCAAGAAATCTCTGACCTTGGTCTTCATGCTCACCACAGGAAGCAGAGACTGAAAGAACCACAGCACACAGAGCAGATGTAAAGTTGTGGGGTGAGGAAACTGTCTCAGACCCGTGGCTGTAGGAGGCTGTGGGTGAAGGAGTGGTGCAGCCTGCACACACTGGCTGCCTTTTACAGTAAAATCTGGGAAAAGTTGCTCGCAACTTGCTGGTCTCTTGCCTTATGATGACAAAACACCTGCACCAGAGGCTGAAGTCCCCCTGCCTTGGCTTTCACAGGGCTGACATCTTACACAGATGAGGCCATGGTGGAGATGGGCACAGAGTGTCCAAGGATGTGGCACTGAGCACCTCCTTCCCCCTGTACCTCCCTTCTTGCTCCCCAGGCCTGCAGCCCCCTCGCTCTGGTGCAGCTCCTTGGTGGCTTTCTGGCACACAGTACATTCCCCTTGGACCCCACACTTGCAGGAACACTGCCACATGGTGCCATCCAGCCATGGGACACGCCAGGGATGGATACTTTGGGCAAGCAGTGACTTGGGAGAGATGCTAACACCTTGAAATCAACCTGCTTGCCCCAGCATGTGGTCTCACTGCCAAGGCGGAACACAGTAAATAGCCAAAGAGAGGGGACACCATGGGAGAAAGGGAAACAGGGCCTAATGCTGCAGCTGGGCATCCTGAACTTCGTTCTTCTTGTTAATTTTTAGATTATTTTGGAATTTGAAGAGTCAGCTTTGGGATCTGAAAAAGAGGATGGGATTTGATCCACTTGGTTAAAGAGAAACTGGCCAAGTGTTTGGCTGGAGTGTGGCGAATACAGTCATGATGACTAATGCCAGTTGTAAGTTAGTCTTTTAAGGGAGATTTTTGCACATTATCAGCTTTTCAGGACATGAGGCACCCCTGAGAACCAGTTTGTGACCTGGACAAAGACAAAGAAAAGCCAAGGTGTTGATAGGCTCTCCCCTGGCACGGGGAACCACTTACCTTCTGCCACAGAGACTCCCGAGATGCCAGGGAGGAGCAGGCAGCCACAAACCAGCAGTTCCCAACCTGGCCCTGGTGCAAGTCATGGGAGCTGATCCCATCCACAAAGAGACGTGGATCATTGCAGATTTCCTGTGGGACAGGAGAAAAACAGACACACTGGCTCAGTGAGCAGACAGGGAAATCAGGAGTAGAGCTTCTTGGCAAAGGAAAGTCACTTCCTCTCTTCCTCAGACTCGATGTAAACCTGGCCTGCAGCGTTCTGCTGGCCTCAGTTATCAGGCTGGTGGCAGAAGGACCCTGTCCTGCCTTCTGCTCTCACCAGGACATGGGCAGCATCACAAGACCTACTCCCTGTTGTGTCCCAGCACCAGTGCAGCTTTGTTATAATTATCCCTGTTGGTAATGGTATAGTTTCACACCATTACAGACCTTCTAAGTCGCCTTTACTCCATGACTGTTTTACAAGAAGTGAGGGATCTGCTCTTCCAGATCCTAGCACAGCAGATTAAAAAAAAAAAAAAAACAACAAAAAACAAAACGGTGAGCCAAAAGCTTTGTAGATGGGTCAGAAGGATTAAATATTCATTCTACCATCAAAACCAGGATGGTGAATTGTGCATAGACACCATGAATGAAGAAACTTGGGTAGGAGGCATCTGGGAGGTAAGCTCATCTAACCATGCACCAAGACCATCAGCTTTTCTCTGCCTGACTCCGGCCAGGCTGCCCTCCCTGCTTCCCACTCCCACTTAGAGCCTGGCCAAGAAAGCACTTAAATAACAGAGGGTGTTGAGCAAGCTTCAGGTGACACACTGCTTTTTTAAATTTATTTTTTTTCTCCTGCTCAATCCAGTTTGTAAGTTCACATCCAGCTGGAGGCTGGGAGTAAATAGGACGAAGAGCTCAAAAAATCTTTTCCCTCTTTGTTATTACATTTAAGAGGAAAAAGGAAAAGCAGATTATTCTTCTTCTCCCACACCTCCCAAATTTCAGGCTGGTTGTACTCAGAATAATATGTCCCCCTGGCCTCGACTTTGCATATGAGGTCTTGTATTACCTCTACCCATAGATTAATTGAAGGGTTTGGGTTGGAAGAGGCTCTAAAGATCATCTAATTCCAAACCCTGCACTCTAGGCAGAGACCTCACCCACTAAATTAGGTTGCCTGGGGCCCCATCACAGGAGGAAAACCATAAGCACCTCCTGCTACTCCCACCTTGCCCAGCCAGCACCAAAAACCTCGAAATTAACCTGCCACTGGCCAGGATCAGAGCCAAGGAAAAGGACAAAAGCCCTAAATCTGGCGTTGCAGGCTGTTGGGAAGAGCGCTAGGGGGAGGCAAGCTGACACCAGCAAAGGCAGGAGTCGCCTGTGCCTGGCACCGCTGAGTGATACAGGGATGGAGAGAAGCAGGTTCAGCTCCTGGGTCACAGCACCGGGAAGCACCCAGCAGTGGGGATGTCTGTAAGATCAGCTCTTTGTGATCCTGCTCTTTCTTTATCCCATCTGAGGACCACAGCTGCCCTTCTGCCCTTGGGGGGATCTGCAGATCGCAATAAAGGAGTCGCTTGGTGTTACACAGACAGGTGAGAACACAAAATCATGAGAAAAACAAGAGACACAAAATGGTTTGGGTTGGAAGGAATCTTTTAAAGGCCATCTAGTCCAAGTCCCTGCAATAAGTGGGGACATTGTTAACTGGATCAGGTCGCTCAGGACCCAAACCAACCTGACCTTGAATGTTTCCTGGGGCTGGGACATTGATCACTTTTCTGGGCAAGCTGTGCCAGTGTCTGATCACCCTCGTTGTAAAAAACTTCTTTATAGGCAGTCTAAATCAACTGTCCTTCAGGTTGAAACCACTACTCCTTGTCCTATCTCAACAGGCCCTGCTAAAAAGTTTGTCCCCATCTTTCTTATAAGCTCATTCAAGTGCTGAGAAGCTGCAGTAAGGTCTGCTCTGGAGTGCAGAGCAGGGCTACCATGCTTCCCTGCAGAAAGCCCACACACCACGCTCAAGCCCTGGCACTGAGTCTGGTCCCAGTGGACTCCCAGTGATCCTAAGCACAGAATCACCAAATCAATGTGGTTATAAGGAATTTATGTGTATCATTCACTCCACAACCCCTAATCGAAACAGGGTCAGCTACAGCAGGTTGCTCAGGACTGTGTTCAGTCAGGTTTTTAATATCTCCAGGACTGGAGACTTTGCAACCTCTCTGGGAAGCCCGTGCCAGTTTTTGGATCACTCACACAGTAAAAAGTCTTTTCTCATACTTAAATGGAATTTCCTGATTTTCAGTTTGCACTGTGTCTTGTACTGTCCCTGGGCACCAGTGAGAAGTCTGGCTCTGTCTCCTTCATTCCCAGCTATCTGGTATTTATGGACATTGTTAAGATTCCCCTGAGCCTTCTCCAGAGTGAAGAATCACAGAATCATTAAAAGACCTCTAAGATCATGGAATCCAGCCATTAACCCAGCACTGCCAAGTCCACCACTCAACCATGTCTCTCATTACCACATCTGTACTTTTCTTGAATATTTCTAAGATGGTGATTCCACTGCTTCCCTGTGCAGTCTGTTCCAACGCTTGAACACCCTTTCAGTGATGAAATGTTTTCTAATATCCAATCCTTGTAAAGGGGAAGGCAGCATTGCCTCCTTGCTCTAATGCCATGGAAGTGATTCTATCAGGATGAGTCTCATCCATGGGTCAGTCTCCCCAGCAAAACCCCCTGGGAAGGTTTGCTGTATTCCTTAGACTGGAGCTTAGCAATATTAAATTACTTAGATTCTTCAGTCCCTATGGAAGATGCTAAGTTTCCACTCATACTTTTTGTACCTGATCTAGACTGTGTGGCCTCAATCCACTGGGATGATACTCCCTGTATTCTGGCTGTAGTGAGGTGGGAGCCAAGGACCAAGGCACTGCTGCAGCCAGGCTGCAACGGCCCAGGATTGCATGGAGCACAGTGGGGCACAGTGTGATGCAAAGCACACTCAGAGCCATGGAGCACCATGCCCACAGTACAGAGGTGACTGATGAACAAGATACCCGTGGGAACTAGGTCAAAAAGCCAAGAAAAGCTTTGGAACATTCGGTGTTCCTTTTCCTGTGAGAAGTGCTGGAAGTGATAAGGAGCTTGTTCTGCAGCCAGATGGAATTACAGGGCCTGGGATTTGCATGTGCAAAGGGAGGAGAGAAGCAGAGATTCGCAGACCAGAGAAGGTCATGACCTTGGTTTTCTTCCCCCCTACCATGCAACAGACAGAATCCAGGTGAGCAATAACATTTATCCAGACAGCAAACACCATGTCACCCTTCCAGCACTGTGACCTTGAGAGAGGAGGGCAGCACACCAACACACCCACACACACCCTGCAGCCTTCTGGGTTCAGGCTTCAGCCACCACAGAACCAGCTCAAACTGCCTCTTGCTACTTGAGGCTTCAGCAGACAGGAACTCCATCCTGTCCTTCATTTATCACAGCCAGATCCTGGGTTCTGGCTGCCCCTAGTCTGGACACAGATGGAGAACAGGAAGGAACAGGGAGGGGAAGCCAAAAGCTATGGCTGCAGGGAAGCTATGGTTTTAATGTGTGGTTCTTAACTCTACCTTGGCCAAGGGAATCATCCATGTCTCTTTACCCCTAAGAAAAACCTGTCTTGGAGGATTGCAAGAATCACCAAATCATCAAGGCTGGCA